GGGTGTACCATGAAAAAATTACTGAGACATCAAAGGTCACTGTAAACCAGGAAAATTTGGACTCTTTGGGTTAAACAATTTACATACTTTAGGAAGCTCTAAGATCCAGATCAAATACATGGAGAATCTATCTTTATTAACAGTTTAATAAACAGCTTAATTCAAAAGGTTGAGGCATTGGTGAAATTGCTGGGACAGGGTGATCTATTATATTCTGTTCCTACTTCCTTATGTGGTAAGACTTTCTGGCCGACCCTGAAGTCTCAAAAAAAAAGAAAGGTATTTTTTAAGATCTCAAAATGAGGGATGCTGCCTTTGCCTTTCATATGGAGGGTCAGTGCTTCCGAAAAGGTCCTATAGCTCATTTCACATTCACACCCCTTGCTAGGTTATTCTTCTATGGAGCTGCAAGGGTCCTGGAAACTGTTTCTATTGCTAGAAAACGCTCTCAGGGGGTAACTCACAGACACTAAATTTAACACTTGATGCCTTTCTCTTTCTTCAATAGCTAAGGTATACCTTAGAATAGAAAATAATGGTTTACAAATTCTAAGAGTGGAGATATAACAAGTTTTATATATTTTCTACATTGTTTAGGTACGTTAGTAAGAAAAAAAAACCAAATATAAATGTCTTAACACAATAACTAAGAAAATGCCGTGAAGGCTATGTTAACCAGTTTGATGAAAACATTTCAAATTGTATATAAAACCAGCACATTGCACCCCATGACTGCATTAATGTACACAGCTATGATTTAATTAATAAAAAAAAAAAAACACAGTCCCCTTAGGTAGTATATTATGTATTTTGTTTAAAAGGAAGACTTAATTTAAAAGACATTTTTAAGGCTCAGCGCCTGTGGCTCAAGCGGCTAAGGCACCAGCCACATACACCTAAGGTGGCGGGTTCGAATCCCCAGCCCGGGCCTGCCAAACAACGATGGCTGCAACCAAAAAATGGCCAGGCGCTGTGGCGGGTGCCTGTGGTCCCAGCTACTTGGGAGGCTGAGGCAGGAGACTCGCTTGAGCCCAGGAGTTGGAGGTTGCTGTGAGCATGATGCCATGGCACTCTACCCAGGGGGATAGCTTGAGGCTCTGTCTCAAAAAAAAAAAAAAAAAAAAAGACATTTTTAAAACTTTAGTGATTGATAGGTTCAAATAGTAATAAGTCTCTTTATCGCTTCTTAGGTAGATAATGCAGGCCAATTTTATGTACCAGCTATTTAGGTACTAATCTCCACTTCATTCTGTAAATACAGCTAATAATGCTGTCAACTTCCTAAGGCAATATTCATATCTATCTATCTATCTATCTATCTATCTATCTATCTATCTCTATCTACCTAGATGTCAAAAGTGGTATGTTTTTATAACAACATTATAGCATTACTTTGGAATTTTAAACAAAAAGTTTCAGTTACTTCTAATCAATTTTTGTAAGTTTGAATGTCATATTTTACACGCATTACACACAAATGTAAATTCACCGACATAAGCAGAATAACCCTATGCAAATTAGCACTCTGTCGGAGTCCTGCTTAGTCTTTACAAATGAGAGGATGCTTTAGAGCATTATATTCGCGCTGCTAGGAGTAACTTGGCTCTAGTACCTCAGAGACCTAAATAAATCTCCAAATCCCTCTGTTCCTACTTGCTGTTAGGAATGGAATGATATGACTAGGATGACCAATTACTGAATATATTGCATGTGAATACAATATATTTATATAGAGTTGTAATAAATCGGAAAAGCAACACTCAACACAAGGAGAGGTACTGGGAAGCTGTGCTCCAAGGAAGTCTGCAAGGAGCTGCCCCAGATCAGTCAGTAAATGCCCCATGTGGACGTTCTGGGGAGTGACTGGAGTCCACGACACGCCTTATCCAGCCCAGCCATGGATCCTATTTTCTGTTTGCTTGGTTCAATCTCCTTTGCCTAATAATATTTCTTATTGCATTTCTCACATTTAATCCTGACATCCTCAATCATCAAAATGCCTCCGTGTGTGGTTCTTTTGCAGAGTTACCGTTTCTCTTGACTTCTGAGGCTTCCTTATGTATTTTGACTATCTCTGACATCCTCGTCTTGCCTGTTGCTCCACCTGTCTGCAAGGTGACTGCATCCTTGGGACCTGGCGACAAAGCCTTCTCTCTCGAAGCACAGTTAGAACAAGTTTCTGCTAAGGGGTTAGGTCATAGGAAGATGGTACATGGCTTCACATGTGACCCAGGGAACAGGTATTGGTTCTCATCAGCAGATGCTGGTCCTCCTTGTCGGCACTTGGATATGAGAAGAGATAGCAAAAAGCCCACCAGCTTGACATGAAAGAGTATCTTGGGCCGTCCTTTCTTCTGTGCCATGGGGTGACACTCTTAAATAGGGAATGGTATCATTCAAACACAGGTTACAAAATTTCACTTCCTAAGTTGTTTTCCTGAATTACTTAATACTGTATATTTGGGGGGGGGGAGGTAAACTTATAAACCCAAATATTTCTACTATGGAAAAAAATTCACACGTACATAGTTTTGTTGCATCACGAACCATTTTATAATTAAAATGTGTACAATGCCAAGCTCAGAGGCGTGGATGTTGTGAAGTTATGAGGACATGCTGTTGTCACATTTGGCAATATAATGTCTGTGACTTTATATGTATTGTGACTATAGATTAATTAAACTGATCATGTGTGAAGTTTTAGCACTCTATCTGCTGACTTGTGTGGACATGAAGAGTTGGTAGAATGAGGAAGTTCAAATATTTCCCAGCAGAGCAACTTGCCTTTGAACTTAGCCGATTTTAAGTGAAGAACTCCAAGTGTTCACATACAAGCAGCACACTACTTCTTCCTAGAGTTTATAGGAGTTCAGTCCAAAGTAAGATTGGAGGAAAAGAGAGTAAGAGAACGTTCACAGAAGAGAAAATGCTACTTTGGATGACTGTAAGATTGGAGCACAAATAAAAAAAATAAAGTAATGAGTCTAGATTACATATCTAGTCAGACACTCGATATCACATTTAGGACTGACAAAGTGCTAAGCTAATGATTTGGGGATAAGATGATTTTCAGACAGAAAGGCTAACGGTGAAACTCAAAGTTTAATACTAACAGAGACAGCATACCTGTGTTCATTTTGACCTTGGAGGGTTTGTTTTTAAAGTCTTCAGTTTTCCTGTAGAAAAAAAATGATGCATAATTTGTTCACTAGCCATGTGGAATAAAATATCATTAAAGGATATTTTTGTTTTCGTTTCAGTCTACCTGTAAGTTAATATTGCATTATCATTCGTGCATGGAAATCAGTGTTTAATAAGGTGGGCATAATTTATAATTCTATTCAAGTCAAACTCTGCTTTGGTCTCATGACCATACATTTATGTTTTTATGTAATGGTTATTATTTATGGATGAAAATGGAGAAGAATTTTCATTTAAAAAATTTCTTTTACAAACATTCATGTGAACAGCTTTAGTTCTCCAAACATAGAAGGATCATCTGTTGTTGTTTCCTCTTCCAGAATTTACTTTAAAACCATTTCCTTACACATAGGGATGAATTTATTACCAGGGAATATGTGATGCATTTAGTACATACTTTGAGGGCACAGTCAAGAAAGGTAAGATTCACCTCTGTTTTTATGCTAAGACACAAGAAATAAATTGTTACTACAAAACCCATTTCTGTGTTAGTATGATCACCAGTATCTCCCCAGTGGAAAGCGTCTGGAGTATAGCAATCAAGATTAATTCATTAGAAATGTTTGGCAGAATGGTACTTGTCTCAGAACAATTTTTAATATTGTGTATTATTTTATGACATGCGAGATGTCACAGTTCTTTCCCTGGCATATTCTCTTAGCTCATATCTTATTTCTCCATGTCCTAACACCCAAGAGGAAGGGCCCGCTGATAAGGAAGGAAACCCAAGACAAAGAGCTCCCTGGAAGATGTTTGGCCCTGGCCACAACGTTGCCGTAGCTCCTGACTGGGCCTAGTTAGATGTCCACATGAATGTCCCCAGAACCACACATGCACTGTCTCCATGCACATTAGCACCTAACATCTGAAAATCAAAAAAATTTTTATTTATTCCTGTGCATGAGTGGGGTTAGGGTTGAAATAAAGTCACTGACATGGTCACCTGTCAATAAAGACTCTGATAAACATTTTTCTTTTCAGTCTTCTGCTTTCTGATCATTTTTTCCCTGCTCAATTCGTCATCTTTTTTTTTTTTTATCTATATAGCCATCAAAGTTCAGCCTGGCTTTGCTGTGAAATTCTAATAATACAATCAAAATGTGAAGCCAAGTGCAGTGGCTCACGCTGGTAATCCCTGCACTCTGGGAGGCTGAGGCAGGTGGATTGCTTGAGCTCAGGAGTTCAAGACCAGCCTAAGCAAGAGTGAGGCCCCATCTCTACTAAAAATAGAAAAACTATCCAGGTGTGGTGGTGGGTACCTGTAGTTGCAGCTATTTAGGAGGTTGAGGAAGGAGGATCACTTGAAGCCAACTGAGATTTGGAGGTTGCTGTGAGCCATGATGATGCCCCTGCACTCTAACTAGGGTCACAAAGTGAAACTTTTGGTTAAAAATAATAATAATAATGATAATGTGAATATCAGCTAAATAAGATGATACTTATCTTCTCTCCCAGTGAGGGGAAAATGATGAAATAAAATAGCATGAAAAAACTGCACTTAAATGATATGAAATATAATTATGAACCAAGATGAGATGGATTTTATCTATGTTTCCCCTGGATTGAATGACTCATGTATTAGGACTCAATAAATACTGAATCAATGAACTTATAGAATGGGTAAAATCACAGTATTGACATTCATCCCAATGTATTTTTTTTTTAAATACTAACCACTTTACTTTTTTTTTTTTTCAGTTTTTGGCCAGGGCTGGGTTTGAAACTACCACCTCTGGTATATGGGGCTGGCACCCTACTCCTTTGAGCCACAGGCACCACCCCCAATCACTTTACTTTTTAAGGGGATAGTGTGAATGCAGTCCCCTATTACCACAAATTATGCAGTCAAGTTTCCCGCATTTGGGGAAATCGCAGGGGTCACCACATCTGGAGTGCAACAATGAGCCGTGCCCTGGGAAAACCACCTTCGTAATCATGGTATCCCCCCTTCCTGGTAATTATCACCCCGATATATTTTTTACAGCTATAACCTGAAGACAATATAGATAATGACCTCACTATGTAGAGTTCAGTGTTTTCTGTGTGTTTGTTTGTTTTTGAGACAGAGTCTCACTATGTGGACTCAGTAGAGTGCTGTGACATCACAGCTCACAGCAATCTCAACATCTTGGGCTCAAGTGATTCTCTTGCCTCACCCTCCCAAGTGGCTGGGACTACAGGCACCTGTCTATGTGGAGTTCAGCTTTTGTGTAGCCTGCCTGTGTGCTGTGTGCTAGTCCTGCCCATCCGCCCTGGGACAACTCACGACGTGGCGGAGGCAGGGCAAGAGGACCACCATCCTCTGCCCTGTCCCAGCTGAGTTTCTACAGTCTCACTGCACAGGCTAACTGACTGGAAGAGTGATGAAGGGAGATTTTATTATGACAAATTTTATCTTTTGTTTTTCAGTGTATACAGATAGACTCATTTCTGTTGACTTGTTTTTAACGGAATTACACAGAAAAATGCAGCATATTTCTAAAAACTCAACTTGGTAGCCTTCATACCACCTGTCTTGAAAGGCTACCAGTGCAGCTAGGAAAGAAGGCAGTGGTCAGGGCAGGAGAGCTCCTGCAAACATATTTATTTTAATCTCACAGTAGCAAAACTCCTAATATGTTAACCTTAAATGGGCAAAATAAATGGAAAAGAAAAGCCTCAGGGGATGTCTGCAACCCAGGCTGAGGCTTGGTCTAAAACAAGAAAGGATAAACAATCTCCAGAAAACGAGGACTGTGAGGACATTTCCCGAATTCAACTTCATCACTGCCTTTGGAACTAGGCACTGCTGTGTGTAAAACTGCTTTAGGTTTTAGCACTGACTGATAAAGACAGGATTTGGGCTGGAATAATACCAATTGATAAAGAAATCATCAAACACAGAAGGAAGGTAACTCTCAGAACGCAAAACCTGCTCATACAGAATAATGATGTTTTTATACCAAGTCAGAGAACTGATTGTCTACATTTGTTGGAACGCAAATGTACCTGACACTCAAAAGGAAACTAGGATTAATGAGAACAAAGCAGGGCGCCACCAATCTTTGAGCTTTCGTCTTTAAGGTGATGTATCCTGTTGCTTACAAATGTAATTTGTGCAGGTTTGTTTGACTTCCCATTGTTTTAGATGTCAAAATGTGAAATGACTAACTTCCTAATCAGGCAAGACACTTTCTAAGTTGTTCAGAGAAGAGGCCCAGTGACAGAACTCTGGAGAAGAACCTGAAACGGGAAGATTTCTTGGTGACTAATAAAAATGCATGATTCTGTTTCCAGTATTTGTGCTAAAGTCACTCGCAAATCCACACCTGAGAACTCTCTTTAGACAATTTAAACCAAGGCAAAATCTAATCTCTTTTGTTCTGTTCTGAAAAAGTGTCCTTGATTGTACTTACATAACCAGCACAGATTATTCTGCAAGGCATCGAATTCCTGGAGGGTTTAGATGCTACTGGAAGAAGACAGTATTTCAAGTATTCTCTTAAACTGGACTTGAACTAGGGCCACGGCTATGAAAACCGACCATAAAATTCAGGCTACCTTGAACCTTAGCAGACAGGCCACAGAGCAAAGCACTCTCTTTGAGAGCAAAGTACATTAAGGTGTCAAAATGATTTGGGGGGTAGGTGTTGTGGGGCTGTATTTACTTATGTTTTAGATAAAAAGCAACTTTACATGAGTCTTAATTAGTGCTGGAAATGGGTTTGTTTTACGCATGGGTCACACTAGCCTTCATTGCCAACATGGCCATAGATGACGTTGATTGTCCGTGAGTGTCCAATAATATGACCTTGAGTCTTTTCATTCTGCTTGGATTTCTTTGATTATCAGACATTTCATTTTTTTTATAGATCAGAGCAGACTTTGTTCTCAATATGCATGGGAAAAGAGATCGGGTAATTTAACTTTTGAATGAGGAGCCTAGGAAGCTTGACTGTGCACGTGCCAACATGCTTTTTTGCCCACAGGCTTATAATTTTTCTTGAATTCTTTTGATTATCAAGCATCCCATTCTAAAAAGGAGCAGAGGCAAAATCCTTCTCCCAGCTTTGGCCAAGAATGCTGTTGCAAGTCATTTCATTTTTATACATCTGAATTTAAGCACCAAGATCGTCTACAAAACCACAGAACTAAATTGTAGCTCAGAATGTGAGGAGTTGCCCAAAAGATTTTCCACTGAGTAAATTTAAGCGCTTAAATTGCCACAGTTGGCTCAGCACCTGTAGCTCAAGCGGCTAAGGTGCCAGCCACATACACCAGAACTGGCGGGTTTGAATCCAGCCGCGGCCTGCCAAACAACAATGACAACTACAACCAAAAATAAAAATAAATAACAATAAATAAATTGCCACAGTTATTTTGAAATTAGTCTATTCACAGTTCACATATTATTCAGGAGAAAGGACACAGAGATAGTCTAAGTGGCGGGAAAACATTGCAAGATATAATTTTTAAAAAGATATATTTTAAACACAAGAATAAAAATATAGTGCATGTTAAAGTTAAGCATCAGATTTTCACCCAAATCATTTACTTTGAAATAGGATCGTGTGTCTCATCACCCTTTCTGGATAAATTGCCCTAAATGATCAAACATTAACGCCCCTTCCTGTCTTTCTCTTTCTGATTGTGGTAAGATTAGAAATACTTGTAAACGCCAATTGCTTTTACCTTTTAATGGCAGTCAGATGACTTAATTCAGGTTGGTGTTTGTCTTTAGATTTCTAACATGTCAACCCACTGCTTTGAGACATTCATAGGAAAACTCCACGTAATTTATTTTGTCCTTTGCAGTCCCTGAATTTGGAAATGTAAAAATCCACCTCAACGCCTCTTCTGAATCGTTTCTCTAAATTGGCAGCCCGTACGTGGTGCCAAGTCAGAGACTCCTGTGCCCCTGTGCAGGTGGCACGAACCTCATCACTGTTGGTAGGCAGGGCACGATTGTCCATTCTCATAAATGCTGAATCTCTCAGGAGATTCCTGAGCTAATGGTGCCTGAAAATGGTCCTTAGTATCCAGAAGCCAAATTATCCACACCATTTATTCATGTATGGTGAGGTCAGAACACATTCAACATCGCTTCCAAGAACTGAGAGAAATCGTTACCACACACAGAAAGAAACAAAAGAATATGAGCACGCTGATTATTTTTATGAGAATATACAAAGTGTTCTTTTCAATTAGACCAAGCTTCCTGTCACCTGGACAAATTCCCTGAAAAAAGAGCACTATGTGTCTTTTAAAGAAACTAACAATTTTTTTTTTGTGACTTTACAATGCAAGCTCTTCAAAATACTTACAGATTTTCCCCACAGACACGACTGGTTGGAAGTCGATCACCTGGTAAGGAATTCTGTCTTTCTGATTAGCCTCAAAGACAGCAAATCACTCTTTTTCCTTTAAATGGTCATGTGATTTAACATTGTTCCAGCATCTTGCCTTCATGGTGTTCTTTATTTTTACATTGTAATCTTTAAGTATAATTACAGGACACAGCTGGACACTTAACAGCTGCACCCTTATCCTCAAATGTCCAACCTTTAAAACAAGGTGACTGATCTAAAGTCCCTTTCAGAAGTTAGAATTTAAAAAAATAAAATATACCTGGATAACCCTCTATTCAAACGTTCAAGTTGAAAGTCATCCACTCAGCTTGACGGGATAGTACAAGGAGAACTCCATTGGCTTATGTCATGGAAATAAAAAGCCAAAAGGTTTCCTACTGAAAATAAGCCAGGTCCCCAAAGGCTTTTTTTTTCTTTTTATCCCCTATCCCCACCAAGAGCAAACCATCCCCAATCTGGCAAACTGGCATTATTCCCATCCACCAATATTTCAAATATTTTAAAGCAGACCTTTACCTTTGACTGAGTTTAAAGAAGATAATCTAGACTTCCCTGAAAAGACACAGGACATTATTGTACTGCTTTTGATTGAAGTAGGCCTCGTGGTTTCTTAAGTTGCGTTGTATGGATTCTCCCATCTCCCAACTCTCCCACCCCCAATATAGCCACATGCTGGAACGGAAAAAGAATTCTGCTTTCCAGGCAGATCTTTCCTCCTTAAACAGATCCTTCTTTGAGAATTTCTCCCCACACATTATAGTAAACAAGCAAAGACAAACCCCGGGAAACAGTCAATCAAACACTTGCCTCCTGGCCTCACTGTCCTCACTGCTTCTGAGTTTCCGAGAAAGTGATCCTAATAGGATGTGAGCCTTTAAAAAAGAAAAAATCTTTCCCATTACCTTGGCAGCTTCTAGCTGGAAGTGATGGCCGGGGGGAAAGCAATGTCTATAAAATGTCACATAATGAATTGTGGGACGAACTGCAGCCCATTCCTGCTCAGTTCACTAATTCAAACTGTCTCCCCTTCTCACCACTGCACCGAGAAGCATACATTTCTTTTCTTTTCTTTTTCTTTTTTTTTTTGAGACAGAGTCTAAGTATGTCGCCCTTGGTAGAGTGCCATAGCATCCCAGCTCACAGCAAACTCAAGCTCTTGGGCTTAAGTGATTCTCTTGCCTCAGCCTCCTAAGTAGCTGACACGACAGGTGCCTGCCACAGCGTCTGGCTATTTTTTGTTATACTTGTCATTGTTGTTTAGCAGGCCCAGGCCCGGGTTCAAATCTGGTGTATGTGTATGTGGCTGGCGCCCTAGCCATTGAGCTACAGGTGTCGAGCCCGATGCATACATTTCTATTTTGAGGACAAAAATCTTTGCTCTTCTTAAAGAATCATTTTTCAATAAGTTTGTGCTTTACTAAGTTTCCCGCTACTTTTAATGTAAAATCTTCCATTTTAATTTTTATACATGTATCGATACACACACACAGAAAATCACCTCTAACCTAGCATTGCATATTTCATCCTTCAAATTTAAGTGGAAGCAACCGTTCAAGGCCCTGGTAGGAATAGAGGGGTATCTCTGTGCATTTTATTTCTTAAATTCTACCTCCT